CTCAAATAAACACCCTAAGCTTACACCTAGAGCAACTAGAGAGAGAAGAACAAACAAAACCCAAAGTTAGTAGAATGAAAGAAATCATAAAGATCTGAGCAGAAATAAATGGCATAGAGATGAAGAAAATAGAAAAGATCAATGAAACTGTAAGCTGGTTCTTTGAAAAGACAAACAACTGACAAAACTTTAGCCAGACTCATCAAGAAAAAGAGGGAGAAGGCTCAAATCAATACAATTAGAAATGAAAAAGAAGTTACAACTGACACCACAGAAATACAAAGGATCATGAGAGATTACTACAAGCAACTATATGCCAATAACATGGACAACCTAGAAGAAATAGACAAATTCTCAGAAAGGTACAATCTCCCAAGACTGAACCAGGAAGAAATAGAAAACATGAACAGACCAATCACAAGTACTGAAATTGAAACTGATTAAAATACTCCCAGCAAACAAAAGTCCAGAACAAGATTGCTGCACAGGCAAATTCTATCAAACATTTAGAGAAGAGTTAACACCTATACTTCTCACACTCTTCCAGAAAGTCACAGAGGATGGAACACTCCCAAACGCATTCTATGAGGCCAGCATCACCCCAATACCAAAATCAGACAAAGATAGCACAAAAAAAGAAAATTACAGGCCAATATCACTGATGAACAGACACAAAAATCCTCAACAAAATACTAGCAATCTGAAACCAACAATATATTAAATGCGATCATACACTGTAATCAAGTGAGATTTATCCCAGGGATGCAAGGAATTTTCAGTATTTGCAAGTCAATCAGTGTGATGCACCACATCAACAAATTGAAGAATAAAAACCATATGATCATCTCAATAGATGCAGGAAAAGCTTTTGACAAAATTCAACACCCATTTATGATAAAAGCTCTCCAGAAAGTGGGACCTAAATACACATTTCTTCAAAGAAGAGATAAAGATGGCCAAGAGGTACATGAAAAGATGCTCAACATCACTAATTATTAGAGAAATGCAAATCAAAACTACAATGATATATCACATCACACCAGTCATTATGGCCAACATCGAAAAGTCTACAAACAATAAATGCTGGAGAGGGTGTGGAGAAAAGGGAACCCTCCTACACTGTTGGTGGGAATGTAAATTGGTACAGCCACTGTAGAGAACAGTATGAAGGTTCCTTAAAAAACTAAAAATAGAGCTACCATATGATCCAACAATCCCACTACTGGGAGTAGATCCGGAGAAAAACATGGTTTGAAAAAAAGTTTCAGGATACAAAGTTAATACACAGAAATCTCTTGCATTTCTATATACTAACAACGAAAGATCAGAAAGAGAAATTAAAGAAACAATCCCATTTACCATCACATGAAAAAGAATAAAATACCCAGGAATAAACCTACCTAAGGAGGCAAAAGACCTGTACTTCAAAAACTATGATGCTGATGAAAAAAATCGTAGATGACACAAACAGATGGAAACATACACCATGTTCTTGGATGGGAAGAATCAATATTGTCAAAATGACTGTACCACCAAAGGCAATCTTCAGATTCAATGCAATCTCTATCAAATTACCAATGGCATTTTTCAGAATTAGAACAAAAAATTTTACAATTTGTGTGGGAACACAAAAGGCCCCAAATAGCCAAAGCAATCCTGAGAAAGAAAAACGGAGCTGGAGGAATCAGACTCCCTGACTTCAGACTATACTACAAATCTGCAATCATCAAAACAGTATGGTACTGGCACATAAACAAAAATATAGATCAATGGAACAGGATTGAAAGCCCAGAAATAAACCCACAGACCTATGGTCAATTAATCTATGACAAAGGAGGAATTTCCCTGGCAGTCCAGTGGGTAAGACTCCATGCTTTCACTGCAAGGGGCACAGGTTTGATCTCTGGTCAGGGAACTAAGATCCCACATGCTGCGCAGTGCAACCAAAAAATTTAGAGGGCCTCCCTGGTGGCGCAGTGGTTGGGGGTCCGCCTGCCGATGCGGGGGATGCGGGTTCGTAAGGAAAATAATGTGAAAAATATATATATGTGTATGTATAACTGAATCGCTGTGCTATACACCTGAAATTAACACAACTATACAAAAAAAAAAAAAATTTAGAAAAAAAATTTTTTTTAATCTATGACAAAGAAGGGAAGAACGTACAATGGAGATAAGACAGTCTCTTCAGTAAGTGATGCTGGGAAAACTGGACAGCTACATGTAAAAGAATGAAATTAGAACATTCTCTAACACCATACACAAAAATAAACTCAAAATGGATCAATGACCTAAATGTAAGGCCAGACATTATAAAACTCTTAGAGGAAAACATACGCAGAACACTCTGACATAAATCTCAGCAATATCTTTTTGGATTCACCTCCTAGAGTAATGAAAATAAAAGCAAAAATAAACAAATGGGACCTAATTAAACTTAAAAGCTTCTGCACAGGAAAGGAAACCATTAAAAAAAATCAGAAAGACAACCCACAGAATGGGAGAAAATATTTGCAAACAAAGTGACCAACAAGGGATTAATCTCCAAAATATGTAAACAGCTCAAGCAGCTCTATGTCAAAAAAAAACAACAAAAAAAATCCCAATCGAAAAATGGGCAGAAGACCTAAATAAACATTTCTCCAAAGAAGACATACAGTTGGCCAAAAAGCATATGAAAAGATGCTCAACATCACTAATTATCAGAGAAATGCTAATCAAAATTCCAATGAGGTATCACCTCACACTGGTCAGAATGGCCATCATCAAAAAACTCCACAAACAATAAATGCTGGAGCAGGTGTGGAGAAATGGGAACCCTCCTACACTATTGGTGGAATGTAAATTGGCACTACCACTATGGAAAACAGTATGGAGTTTCCTTAAAAAACTAAAAATAGAACTACCATATGATCCAGCAATCCCATTCCTGGGCACATATCCAGAGAAAACATGGTTTGAAAGGATACATGCTTCCCTAATGTTCATTGCAGCACTATCTACAACAGCCAAGACATGGAAGCAACCTAAATGTCTAGGGACAGAGGAATGGGTAAAGAAAATATGGTACAGACAATGGAAAATATTACTCAGCCATTAAAAAAATGAAGTAATGCCATTTGCAGCAACATGCATGGACCTAGAGATTGTCATACTAAGTGAAGTAAGTCAGATAAAGACATGATATCACTTGTATGAGGAATCTTTTTTTTTTTTTTTTTTTTTTTTTTGCGGTACGCGGGCCTCTCACTGTTGTGGCCTCTCCCGTTGCGGAGCACAGGCTCCGGACGTGCAGGCTTAGCGGCCGTGGCTCATGGGCCTAGGTGCTCCACGGCATGTGGGATCTTCCCAGACCGGGGCACGAACTTGTGTCCCCTGCATCGGCAGGTGGACTCTCAACCACTGCACCACAAGGTAGCCCTGGAATCTAATTTTAAAAGATGATACAAATAAATTTATTTACGAAACAGAAACGGACTTTGGGATATTGAAAACTAACTTACGGTTACCAAAGGGCAAACGTTGTGGGGAGGGATAAATCAGGAACTTGGGATGAACATCCACACACTAGTATATATAAGATAGATAACCAACAAGGAAATACTGTATAGGACAGGGAACTCTACTCCATATTCTGTGATAACCTATAAGAGAAAGGAATCCAAAAAAGAATGAATATATGTATATGTTTAACTGAATCTGGTTGAGAGTCCACCTGCCGATGCAGGGGATAAGAATTCTTGAACCTGAAAGAAGCCTGGAGACTAGTAAAGAAGGGGTTTGTTAGAGATAAGATTTAAGAGGAAGATGTGAGTCACATTATACTAGGTAGTAATGAGTCAGTGGTTATCCTAACTTTAACCCAAGGTACCATCTACATAAAATGCCCTTAGCTTTTCTTCTGTACTTGGTGGAAACTTCACATGTCCTCCTCCCTTTACAAACTTGTCAAATGCCTACCATGTGTATTTTAAATATTGGATTGGCCAAAAAGTTCGTTCAGTTTTAAATAAAAATAAAACATTTTTCATTTTCACAAAGAATTTTATTGAACGTATTCACTAACCGAACAAACATTTTGGCCAACCCAATATTTAGCATAGATTAGATGTGGGTATTTACACTGGGTTACATGAGTCTATATGTGAATCAGAAAATTTTCTAGAATATTGATTTGAAAGATAGCTGATCTCAACATAAAAGTTTTTCCTTTAACTTTTATTACCCATAATATCTGATATATTTTGTCAATAAATGATAAACCTGTATTGGATGTGAAGGGTCATTAAAGAATATTTTAACATTGAATTTGGGCCTTTTATTATTATTGTTATGGGATCTGGGTATGCTTAAGACCAGTATAGTTTAGGAAGAATTGAATTCTGGTTTTGAAAATATTTACCTTTTAAAAATTTTATTCATTACTACCAGTTTCTTAAGAAAATTGGTTATCAAAATTGTGGACTACAAGAATTAATCTTATATCCAAAAAATAATTATTTTAAAATAATTTAAATTGTTTTTGAATTTTCTTACAACAATACTCAAAGGAAATTTTGTTTCATACTGTTTTACCTAGAAAAGGTGAAATTTTGGAGGAGTGCGTGTATGTGTGTATACGTATATGTACATCTGTGTTTGTCTTAGGCAGGGCAACACTTCCCTACAAGTCTTTTTCTTTCTTGTCCTTAAATTCCCCACAACTCTCTCTCTAACCCGATACCTATTAATTCTTTTCTTTGTCCCATTTATTTATTTGATAAATATTTAGTGTATGTTAGGCAATATTCACTTCACTGTTGTAATCTTTGTAGAGCATTTGTGTTTGGACATATCTAAAGGACTTTTTTCTGCATTATTTTTTTGAAGTACTATAATTAGTACAGAAGTAAAAACAGTTCAGATCTGCCACTAAGTTAAAATCCTAACAGATACATATTTTTAGCCTCTGTTCTCTTCCAGGTACATTACCAAATTTTCTGCATCTTTGTTTCTTACAGGTATGCTGGAGCAATGGAAAGATTGCAGGCAGAGACTGAACTTATTAACAGGGTAAATAGTACTTACCTTGTGAGGCACAGGACCAAAGAGTCAGGAGAATATGCAATTAGCATTAAGTAAGTGGGACAAGTACTTTTACAGAAATAGCTTTCCTGTTTTCATAATTGCATAGATCATCTGACATATATAACACTGAAGCTGAAAACCAAGGTTCTAATTGCAGCAGAAATAATGTATCATCTCTCCAGACAGTTCATTAATACTTGAAAATATCTGTTAGAAAAAAATGGTATTGTGTTATAGGCTGCTAATTGGCATACTACATTTCTTTCATAACATTGTACTTGATATGTGTATGTTTCTAGTAAATCCTAAGAATTATAAATTACTAGATTTTATTTTGTTTTTCCATATTCCCAAATTGATCTTATAAATAAATTGGGCATAGTGATTGATCAAATCTAACCCAACCCCCCCCCCGTCTCACTTCAAATATTGGTTGTATCTTCAACCAATCTAGTGAATATATTTTGTTAATTAGCTGTCACCAGTGTATTGGCATAGGTATATATTTTGTCTTCAGAATTAATTCCTATAATGTTATTGGGGCATGCCCTCTGGTAATTATTGATTTCTACTGATTAAAAACACATTTATATTCATAAGTTATCCATTGCCCACAGGTACAATAATGAAGCAAAGCACATCAAGATTTTAACAAGAGATGGCTTTTTTCACATTGCAGAAAATAGAAAGTTTAAAAGCTTAATGGTAAGCATTGATTAGTTCTTTTCAATCTGTGGTCCTTATTTTTCTCCTATTAGAAAGGTCAGTTTAATTCTAGTTTCTTGGAGTATTTGCTCACTGAAACATTGTTTAAAGAGAATCATACCATAATTATGCAGCAGAATCCTGAAAATTTTAAGAATTCTAGTTAAGTTTTATATTGCCCTAGACATATTTTTCATTGTAAACTAAGTTTACAAGTTTTAGATAATATTTCAGAGTCCACACTAGAAGATTCTTAGAGCCACAGACACGTTCAAAACAATCAACTTTCAGTTACGTGTGTTTTACCTTGTTTGAATGACACACAGCAGAGTTTTAACATGCTTTTCTTCCTCTGCCTCTATCTCTCATTCAGGCAGAGGAAGATATTTTAAATTATAACATTAAAAAGTTGTAATTGGTAAAATACCGCTCACATTTAGGTTCATTTCATGCAAAACATACTGTCAAATGGAAAACCTTTTTGTATTTTCTGCTATTTTAGGTGACCTGTACTACAGTTCTCCTTCGTTACCTTGGACAATTAAACATTAACAAGGTGGCATTTTTACCACATGACAGTGATATTTCATAGAAATTTTACATTTAAATTGAACAGTGTGTTGTCACCAAGTTGTTTCAGATAAATAAAGATTATTAATTCTGATGATTTTTAAAAGTGTAACTTAGCATATAAGAATAGTATGCATATGTCATATCAACAATACATATATCAGTATGTCATTGCATGTGCATTGCTTGTGCACATGTGCATTTACTGTCAATGCTTGTGCATTGACAGTAAAGAAGAAAGTTCTTATTTCATGAAAAATGATCTCAAGTTTGCAAGAGTTTCTTGAGATAATGAAGAATTTGGAGATAGGACATAAGATGCATTTGAAGTACTCTGCTAAGTACTTTGAGTAACACTGGGAAGGACCACTCATTGATTAAACCATCAGTCAAATGATACACACTGCATTGTTCCAGAAAACATCTCAAAGCACTTTGCAGATGTTAACATTAAAGTTAAAACTGAGTGTAAGAGAGCCTTACAAAATGAGCCAGCTTGAAAGCCTTATCTAAAAATTTAGAACTGCTTCAAGACAGGAATCAGCGTTTTAAAGAAACTGAAGCATCTTGAGTTGAAAGAAAAGTAAGAAAACCTCTCTGGACATAAATATCACATTCCCAATTCAAAAGCTAAGGATGGGTAGCAAGACTGAGTCCTGGAAAATGTAAACCCTGTCAAGTTGGCAACCGAGATCCAGGTATCCTCCCTGCTGGCAGTGAGTTATGTTCTGCTGGAACAAGCAGGCTGTGCACAGAGAAAGCTGGACCTGAGGAGGTTCTTCCTTAAAGGAAAACCTAGCAGGGAGGTGGCAGGTGGATGCACAAATAATGAGTAACAGCCCCAGCCGAGACATGATAAAAGCGTGAACAGGGAGTCTCCACATCGCTGCAAGACACACCAGCTTGACTCACCTGAAGAAATTAGGGTGGTTGGTAATGAGGCTGCTCCGTGGTATTACAGTTAATATGAGACTTTAAAAAAAAAAAAAAATGCTCTAGGGCCAAAGCTGACTACCAGCCTTGATGACTTTGAAAGCAACAAAAGGGACTTCCATCACAGGAGATAAGCGAAGAGGATGAAAGGAATAGTCACTGGAGAGGGCCAATCAATTCAGCTCTTTGTCACCTGGATTCAGCTCAAGAAAGTTCCTCATCCTCTAAGGTTAGATGTGAAAAGCCAGTAAATACTGCATGACCTGGATTAGTGGACACAGATCCTCAAGGTCCTATCTGCATGTAAAGCTGTTATTATAGTATAAGCAATAAAGACCCAAAATTCAAATAATTTGGACCAGAGAGCAGTAAAAGTTTCTGCAATGATGTTCTGGAAAGGGAATTAAAAGTAGTTGTCACAGAGCTTAAAATAAGCTCCCCTTATATGCTATGTGTAAAACATCAGAAATGCCACTGCAAGAGACACATGCATGTTGTTTCCTCCATATCTGGGGATCTTTTGTAAGGAAGTACATAGTGCAGAGGGTTAAAGGGAGGGGATTAAGAATTAACTGCAAAACTACAATGAAAAAAAAAAAAAAAACTTCAGCAAAAGGATATGACAGACAAGGAACTGAAAAATCTCAGCCTTAGATGAATACTTCTGTCAGATCTTACAAAATCACTGTAAACGTTGCTGAAGAGACCGTGGGAGGTGTCGGGACCTACCTCCTCCTCTTTGTTTCTGTTCATTTGTTGAACAAATTTATATTGAGTCCTCACTATGTGAAGTTACTGTGCTTTTACACAATTAAAAAAGGACTCAACTGTTCAAAACAGCTTTCAAATTAGTAAATCTCTGTGTACCGAGAACCTCACAATAGTGCTGTCCTTTGACCCTCCACTGGGAAATGCCACATGGATACCTGATCAGAAGGAATGGCTCCTATCTCAGTAACTAGCCCCTCTGGAAGAAGAGAGAGGGTTGATAGGCACCTTGGGAACGTAGGGGCTTCTCTGAACCTGCATCATGCAACCTCAAGGAGGTTTACATTTTATCGTGTTGGTGTCAAATAACACAGTTCCCACTATAAGTACATAACAGTCTATGCATTGTTTCTTTAGTTCAGTATCTTCCCATCATGGCTGGTAAAGTTATATTCATCTACCTAATGACACTCATTAGGGCCTGGAATTAAATTTAATTTGGAAAGGATGTAAAATGAAAACGAAATCCAGAATTTGTTTTAAATTAGCCAGTTTCTCGAAAAGAAGATTGGCCTCAGGTGGTTATGACCTAACCTTTTCCCTCTGCTTTCAATGGCTTGGTTAATCAAAATCTTTGTTTTTCTTAGTCATTAAATCCAAATTCTAAATGAATTTCTGTATCCAGATTACAAGGCATTAATTTTGTTCTAATTTTCATGTATGCCAGACAGCCCATGTCCAAATGCTGTTTATAAATCATCTCCACTGCCTGTTTCCTTGGTAATTGGAATGACTGGCTCTCACTCATTATTTTTCAGAGAGACCTGAATTGTTGACACCACTGTGTCAGTGTGAGATAAGGAAAGCTTAGCAATTTCTTTTGTTTAGAGCCTTCTTATTTACTTGTAGTACTTGAAGGTCAATGATTGCTAAAGCAGAGGTGGATTAGACTAAAATACTGAAAGGCATAAGTTGGAAGAGATCCACCGTGGTACTATTTAATTCTACCCAGTTAGAAAGATGTAGGAAGATTCACCCTCATAAGACTGTAAAAATGGAACTAAAATATCTTCCATGCTCAGTGAAGTGATAAAAAAGTGTTTTACAGCTTACCAAGCCACATGACCCTAGGCCTTGGAAAAGTCATTTTTTCTTCCATAAAATTTGGAGGTGGGTAGGTATTAAATGATGACCAAGTCCTTTTCAGTATGATAATTCTGTAGTTTCTAGCCAACTTCACATAAACCTTAATTCATACTAATTCATGATATCGTGCGTAAAATTCATATTACTTATAACAAAATTACACTGAAGTTCAAAGTTATTGGCTTATAATTACTCTCAGGTTTATTTTCACAGTTTTGCTAAAGAAAAGAACACATTTCATTCAGTTTAAATGAGAAGACTAAGAGAACTGTTTATATATATATATAGTGTTGCTGATGCAAATGATAAAGTGTACCGTTCTCTTCCAGAGACCTTACAAAATTTTTCATTTAAAGAAATTAAATGATAATATTGGTCTCTAAGTAGAATTTAATTCCAGACCTTGCCTTTGCAAGCCATGCTAAAATCACCATAATATAAATGCCATATTCTGATCAGTGAAGTCATTTTGAGGATATAATCTTTTGATATTTTAACTTTTTTTTTTTTTTAAGTTGGTCAGGTTTCACATTCCTTTGCTTCATCAAGGGCACCCATAATCTGGGCCCAAGCAAGGAAGAAAGGATGGAAGAAAAAAAATTTAAGTGTCAAACCATAGCATCTTGGGTCTAAGAGAACAAACTCCTGGTATACCATAGATACTTAGAAAATGCTCCTTCCCTTTGCTTCACTTTTTGCATATTTACATTTGCCAGGTACTATTTGCTAATAATATGATGTAGTTGAGAGCGCAAACTTTGGAGCCAGACACCAGTTACACAACCTTGCCCAAAGCTGATTAATCTCACTGAGCCTTGAGCATTAGGGGGAAAAGGCCTATCTCTTGTTTCTTGTTTGAAGATTGTAAGAAACTGTATAATAGGCCTGGCACATGGGATCATGGTAACTCTCATGATTATTCACACGTACCAGGCACTTTATACATTCTTTGCTATAGCCTGTGAAATGGTTTATTATCCCCAGATGTGCAAGGTGAAGAATCTCCATTTGCCTCATCCAGTACTTTAGCCAAACCAGGCTCCTTCTAGTTTATGAACGTGGTCTTTGTTATGTTTGTGTCTGTTCCCAGCCTGACTGCTCTACTTAAATCCTTCCCTCCTTCGTGGCTTTTGAAATTTTACCTGTTCTTCAATTTAAGCCAAGCTACCTCCTTCATGAACTCTTCCCTCATCCTCCCCACTGGACTCAGAAAAGGAAGCTCTCTTTCTTGCCTTTGAACTCCCATAATCCTTCACTTTCCTTCAAGGGTGAGGACACCTAGGAACCTTATCTTCAAAATCTCTGTGACCCCTGGAACTCCCCGCACGATGCATTACACAACTCATCCGAGTTTCGTCAAAAATAATAAACAAATCATTGATGATCCTCTTTCTCTTCTTTCGGGTGATTTTTGGCCCAACTGATTTGTCTTGGGAACTCTGAACATACCCATTGAATGGAGATTCTGAATCAACGACAGTGTGGTTTTTTAAAGAAATGAGTTGCTTTTATACTGTTTGTTTTAAACAATAGTGCTGTAGTAGAAGCACTGAATAATTAGATTAAAAGTGATTATGCTTTTATTTTCATTTCAGGATTTTCTAAGAAACATGTCTATAGTACTCATCTAATGATAGTATGCATTTTTCCATTATGAATTAATCATTTTCAATTTCTGTTTAAAGTAGAGGGATTCAGATTTGTACAGAACCTATGAAACCAACGTCTCGAAAGATATTTCCTGAAATTTTAGTGTGAAAGATGGTGGGTGGTTATTATATTAGGCTTGGATGCATTTGGGGCAAATTAGGCATAAGAGAAAATTGGAAAGAACTACATTATTGACTTCTAGTAAGTACCAGATGACAGCTCTGAGAAGGGCACTAACACTTCCTCATAAGCCAGAAACAATGTCAAGTAAGTAGCATTTGTGGCTTAACAACTTTGGCTTACCATGGAAAAGTACATTTAGGATTGAGTTTGTTTTTCTGCTTATGTTGAAAGAAAATGCAGGAAGCTAGAAATTGCTATATATTCATAAAACAGCTGTTGCCTTTCTAAACAAAAATCAAGGGAGGTATTTCATAAATAAGAACAGTAATTATTGCTCTGAAACTGAGGTTTAGTATGGTTTCTCTTTACTTACTACAACTGACTGAAGACCACCAGATGTTGGGCAGCAAGAGGGGGTAACTCACATTATAAATGGCCTGGGTAGCAAGGGCAATGACTAGTTAGGTGTCATGCACCTCCAGGCTGCAGGGAGAGATGATCATTTACTCACACTAAGATAGGCTTATGGAAAATTTAGCATTAAATTGATCATCCCTCTATTGTATATAATTACGTGTCAAGGAGTTCATGTATTTGATTCTTTTTTCCTAAAGGAACTTGTGGAGTACTACAAGCATCACTCTCTTAAAGAAGGATTCAGAACCTTGGATACAACTCTGCAGTTTCCTTACAAGGATCCAGAACATTCAACTGGACAGAGGGGTAACAGAGCAGGCAACAGCTGTGAGTATTGTAATTTAGAATACAATTTACTGTCACTTAAGGATCGAAGGCATGATAACATTAAACATCTTCATTCCAGATTTTGGAATAGAACCAATTAATATGCTGATGTATTTAACAAGGAATTTTTCTGGAGCAAAGCAGAATCAGATGGACCAACAGGTTTATGAACATGCCTAGATTTAGTTCTTCACGCCAAATTAAAAATCATGTGTGTGTTAAATCCATCAGAAATATAGGGTATGTTAATATGTAAGTTTTGTACTTTTCACTGACTTTTATATTAGCCAAACGCTTTTTAACTGATACATGTTTATGGTCATAATCCTGTTTAATTAACAGTATTTAAGCAAGGCTGGTGCACAGTTCTCCCATCTAACCTTGCACTGCAAGTCTTCTTATAGATTCTATTTCAATGATTACTTTCGGAACTTTGAAATAGCTAAAAGCATGTTTCCTCTGATGCCAATATTTAAAAGTAAACATTAGCCACTTCTTTTCAGAACGAGCACTATGCCACAAATAATCACAAAAGATTAGCACATAAACCGAAAGCATGTTATAGTTTGAGTGTGAGTTCAACTCAAAAACGTTTTTCTCGTCACCGTTTAATGTCATATAATCTTCCTGTTAATAGATATAGCATGTAGAGAAAATGCTATGAGTAAAGTGTGATTTCACCCCCTTATTTTAATTTCATAAAACTTTTTTAGAAGAGAAAGGAATACAATTTTATTACCCTCAGAAGGTTTAACCTAAGCGAAATAGGAATATCTAGAGGTATTTGGAAAAAAAAGAATTTGCATCATGTAATATAACTTTTTTTCCCTAAAAGCAGAAACAGAAAGGGAAGCAACGCTCAGGGCACTACCACCACCAGTAAAGTTTCATAACATTTCCATAAAGTAAATATACAAGTAATTTGTCACATCAACTGACATTTTTTTTTCAATTTGAATAACTTAATAGCTGTTCTCTTCACAAGGATCAGTGATAAATGAACAAGATTGTGCAATAAAAGTAGTCAGAGCACACTTTTTGTTGAAACTGCAAACACATTAACATTTATCTTTCAATTTTTAGCCCACTCTTACGCAGTTATCTTAGACGCTCATATAGGCCATAAGTTTTGCTCATTCAAAAATGGAACTTCCCCAGGCTTCCCTGGTGGCGCAGTGGTTGAGAATCTGCCTGCTAATGTGGGGGAACACGGGTTCGAGCCCTGGTCTGGGAGGATTCCACGTGCCGCGGAGCAACTAGGCCCGTGAGCCACAACTACTGAGCCCGTGCGTCTGGAGCCTGTGCTCCGCAACAAGAGAGGCCGCGATAGTGAGAGGCCCGCACACCGCGAGGAAGAGTGGCCCCTGCTTGCCACAACTAGAGAAAGCCCTTGCACAGAAACAAAGACGCAACACAGCAAAAATAAATTAATTAATTAATAAACTCCTACCCCAACATCTTCTTAAAAAAAAAAAAATGGAACTTCCCCTTAAGAAACAATTTTTTCTACAAACTTCTTAAAAGCTTACCAGGGTTATGACATT